CCGCCCCTGGTCGGGGGGATGAGGGCAAGAGCACATGGGCGGTGTGGCTGTCACACCGCCAATGGGGCGCACGTGATGCACGAATCACCTAGGCCTGCACTTCTGTAACCGCAAGCGAGGTAGAAGTATCTGTATCGGCGTACAGTGTGTTATCAATGCGCTTCGCCCCCGTGATTTGATTCTGGTACCGACGGTGACCACTAGTCATTTGGCATTTACGCCTCAATCAGCGGCCTAGTGAACGCATTGAGACAATTGATTTCAATTCTTTCGTTCGTAATCTGCAAGCAACCCTCGAGCTGACCCCGAGCTGGTCCCTGTGCACTCGATCACGGGGAAGCCCTGTGCACCCAGCGCAACGAGGGGCGCGCTGAGCGAATTCAGGAAGGCCACAGGCGTTGAAAAAAGAGACGCAGTGCAGCGCCGCGGGCCTCCATTGTCTGTAGTGGCGCACACGGCGTTGGGGGCACGGCACCCCGACCCCCTGCCAACAGGCCACGCACATTTGGTGAATCACGGTGGCCAACAGCCCGCAGACATAACATGGGGGCAGGAGTTTCTAAGGATGGACGAGACCTATTAGAGGCTGCGCGCAGAGGGGACGCTGGCGCCGTTGGGATCGCGCTACAGGAAGCTGGCCCGAAGCTGGCGTGCGCGAGCACGCTGCTGCAGCGGCGTGGGGTGCTGCACATCGCTGCGCACCAGGGGCAGGCGGAAGGTGGGCAGCTGATGCAGGGCTGATAGTCCGCCTCTGTTGGGTGCAGGGGCCCGAGGTTACATTGCCAGCAGCCCCTCTTGCACAGGTCTCTCTGGCTTGCACTCGGCGTGCCTCATGCAGTCTCTGCCTCCCCACTGAACCTCCTTACTCTGCCTGCCTGCCTGCTGCGCCTGCCTCCGTGCGGCAATTGTGCACATTGTCGCTCGTCATCAGTCATCACGGCCGTCGTCGACCCCTTGATCGCCGCGGCTCGCTCGGAGCTCGCAGCGCGCCGCCCTCCGTCGCAGTCGCCCGCGCCGCCCGGGCCCGCGATCGAGGCGCTGCGCCGGGCGATCAACGCGCGCGACGCGGCGGGCCGCACGCCGCTGCACCTGGCGGCCAGGCGGGGCCACCTGGAGTGCGTGCGGCAGCTGGCCAGGAGCTGCGCGGCCAACGTATTCGCCACCGACCACGCCGGCTGCACCTTGTGAGTTCACCTCGAGGGTTGAGGGATCGGGTTGCTGGTCAGGCCCTGTGCTAAGAACCTCACCTGCTTACTCAAGAGGCGGTGGGCCTGAAAGGGAGTCCAGCACCCCCCCTTGTACCTCCCAACACCCGCCCCACCCCGCCCCCCTCGCAGCCTGCACGCCGCGGCCTTGAAGGGCCATCATGACGTCATCGCGTACGTCCTGGACCTCATGACAGCGGCGGACCCCGACCGGCGCGCCAGGTGCGCTCCTGACGGCAGCCGCTGTGAGTTTGCGACCGCGACAGTTGGGGCGTGTCTCGGCGCCCCGACCGCCAAGCTCCGCCCGTGCAGCAGGCACGGGGCATGCGCCGCTGTGTGCCGCAGGGCGCCGCCCTAAGCGGCTGGCTCAATAGGGAACGCGTTGCTGGCGCCATGTTTGACCCACACACCATGCCGTGCCGCGCTGCGTGCAGGCTGGTCAACAGCCGCAACCTGAGTGGGTTCACCGCGCTGTCGTACGCAGCGTGGTCTGGCGGCGAGGCGGCGGTGCGCGCGCTGCTGCAGGGCGGTGCTGACGTGACCGTGGTCAACGAGCACGTGTTTGACCAGGTGGGCTGCGCACGTGGGCACATACATGTGTGCGCGCAAATCAAGGTGGCTGAGTGTGTGTGTGTGTGTGTGTGTGCGAGTGTGTGTTCGTGCGTGTGTGCGTGCGTGCGTGCAATTGTACATGTGTCGTGCATTCGCACGCATGTGTTGCGCTGATGATGATGAAGGGCGATGTTTGGCCCTCTACACGCCGTGCACGTTGAGGACGGACTTGTCACGAGCATGTTGCCTTCACCCAACTTGCCTCAGCCCGCGCAAACGCCCGCCCTCACCCGCGTCCTCCTCACGCGCCGTTGCCCCCAGTTCCTGCCGCTGCCGCTGGGGAGTACGCCGCTGCACATCGCCGCCGCGCGCGTGCAGGGCAGCGCGGCCCTGGCCATCCTCGAGCATTACGTGAGCGCCCTCACGGCAGTGATCTGGTGATCTGGCGCCCCCATCTCGCGCGCGCAGCCCGGCTGCACCAAAACTAAGCGCGCGGCGTAGGCCGCGGCGCAGCAGCGTGGAGCGCGGTTGCCACGCAGCCAACCGTGCTGCCGGCCCTGCGGCCCCGCAAGCCTGCACAACATCCCGTATCCCGCTCCACGTCGGCGTGCCCACCCAACAGGCCCTCGAGTGTGCAAGCTGCCCGCCCGGCCGCCGGCCGCCGGCCGACCCCCGCAGTGCCGTCAACGTGCACGGCAACACGCCCGCAGCCGTCGCCGCGCAAAACGCCGCGCCGCGGCTGGCGCGCGCGCTCTCGCCAGGGGTGCCCGTGTGGCGGGTGGTGGATGTTTCGGCCGCCGCCAGGTGCGTCTCTTGAAGTCGTCTCTTGTATTGGTTTAGGATGGCGCTGTTTGCTGAGCCTGTTGGCAATCAGTACATCCTGGGCCAAAAGGGGCTTCTCGGCTGTCCTCGGGTATGCCGTGGGTGTTGTGATGTGCAGCCCGGCAGGGCTGGCAGGTCCAGTCAGCAGACGCGCCAGAACACGCGCCAAAGTGCGCAAACCTGAGTGCCTGGCCCCACCTCCCATGTACCGCCTCGACAGGCAGCAGGGGCCGCCCTCGCTGCAGGAGGTTGCGGCCCGCGCATGGCGCGACACCCTGCTGTCGCGGCTCGACACCCTTGACGCCCTGGCCGCACCCGCGGGCGGCGTAGATGGCGTGGGCGCGACCGCGGCCGCGGCCGGCCCCGGCGCGGCATGGGGCTGCGGGAGCGGGGATGACGGGGTGCGGACCGCGGCAGGAGCGACGGCGGGACGTGCGGGGGGCGGCGACGGTTCCGGTGGGCGGCCGCAACGCAAGCCTGCAGGGCAGGAGATTGCGATTGGGCTAAATTACGGCGCCCACGAACGCAGATTGGAAGAGGGACACAGAGCGCACCCAGGCCCTCAAAGCGTGCAAGAGGCTCCGAGGAGCTTTGCAGGGGACAGCTGCAGCAGCAGTTGCTGGGGCGTGGGCCCGGACGCGAGCGGCGGCAGCGGCGGCGCCGACAGCCCGGCGCCTGCGAGGCCGCAGCGCTGCGCCGGCAGCGCCCCCAGCCGCGGCGGCGGCGACTGCGGCGGTCGCGGCTGCAGGGGCGTCGCAGATATGTGTGTTTGCATGCCTGGGCAAGGGTGTATGGGCACTTCTGTCGCAACAGGCACGCTCAGCTGCTCGGACAAAGATGATCAGGAGGAGGAGGACACGTGCGGCGTCTGCTTCGAGCAGTTCGAGAAGCTCTCGGCGGCGGCGGTCCTGCGCGGCTGCGGCCACCGGCTGTGCACTGGCTGCGCGCGCGGCGTGGTGCGGCAGGGCTGCGGGGAGGCGGCGGCCGCGGAGGCGGCGCCGGCGCCGCCGAGCTGCCCGTTCTGCCGACGGGTCATTGTTGGATTTGTCGGCGTCTGACCCACGTCCCTCTGCAGGAGGCGGGCGGCCCTTGTGGCAGGGTTTTGTTGGGCCTCCGCCTGGGCGTTGGGGCCAGCCGGGATTGCGCCGCAACACCCATGGCGGCATCCTGAGCGCCACCTGCTCGTCTCTTTGCCACTGGCACCACCGCCGGTCGCACACAGCAGCCCCACCCTTGCACTGTCGTTAAAACCAAAATCGTGTTTGATTTACCCACTGTCTGCCGCTGCTGCTGATGATGATGATGATGTTCATGCAGGCTGCTGGGCCTGCACCCACCACTCCAGCCCCAAACTGTGCAGCGTGCCGCATGCCCACAGCTCGCTGCATGCTTCATACCACCCCTGCTGGGCCGTCCACGCATCCCGCGCCTGATGCTGGGCCCCCGCCCTGCTCCAATAAGCGCACCTGTCCATTGCTATGCAGGCACAGCAGGCTCGAGGTGGCAGGCAAGGAGCCACCCCCCACGACGCCGGTGTAGCTGTGAGCCGTCGTGTGCCCATGGATTGGGTGCTTCGAGTACAGGCCCATTTTTTTGCGCTTCAACGAGAATCGCAATGGAGAGCCGGCCCGCTCGACCCCGCTTATTTCTCTCGCTGGCACCACCAGCGGCGCTGCCTCGCAGCGTGGCAGCCTGTTCATCTCAGCATGCGGCCTTTCATTTATGACTCACATTGGTCTGACCGCTACACAAGTCCAGCCCCGCCGCGTCACGATGGGTTCGGTGGCGGCAGGCGCGATTGCGAGAGGTGCGGAGCTTCTGCTGCCCTCCTGCCCATTGCTGAGAGTTTTGCGTTGTGCACTGAGAGGTCTGCTGTAGCAATCCTGCGGGGTCGGTGAGCCGTGCTGGCCCTGGGAGGGTCTGTAGTGTGGCAAGGCGCTTGCAGGCCGCGCAAGCGGTCAGGCCTGCAGCGCCACCCTCCGTTGCTGGCATTTGGGGGCCGCCTGGAAGCGAGACGCGTCCTCAGGAGAGCCGTTGAGCGCCACTTGGTCGCCCTGGCCGCCCATTTTGCCTTGTGCCCGCCCTCCGGCTGCGCCCTGCACTTTGCTCGTGCCACAGTCTGCGCATACACGCCATGTGATGCTGCTGCTTTGCCCTCTGCTGGTGGCAGGGCAGGCACAGGCCACGGTGCAATGTCGGCGGACGGCCGCCCGCGCCTTGTAACGTTTCGGAGGAGGTCGCGCGGTCGGGTGCAGGCAGGGTCGGTATTGTCTGCGTGCATGAAGGCGGCTGCTTGCTGCCTTTTCTTGCCGCTCGTTTGTGCTTGCTGCTGCGGCGGATGCGAGGGACCTGCGGCCTTGTGCAGTTGGGCCCAGGGTCGATCACGCCAGCGTGCTCGTCAACTGCACTCGCGCCAGGCTTCTCGCAAGGATCAGGGGAACACTTCACAACATCCCAGATGCACTTTTTATACTGGAGTTTTGGCGCAGTTGGCTGCAGGTGGATGTGGTGTCAGCAGTTGCGGGGGGGGGGGGCATACTCTGAGAGCCTCGTTTTGGGCAACAACGGGGGGAGGTTTCACCCAGTGCGCACCGCCTGCAGCTGTATTAAGCCGGCGCAGGGGTACAGGATTGGATGTATCAACCGCTTGTGTCGACTCTCAGAGCGCCGTTGGCAACGTTTGCGTGGGCGGTTGACGCGCGCTCGGGGGCTCCTGCAAAGGGCCACGATGGCGTGCGACGACCAACGGGCGTGGACGACGCGCAGGAGGCAGCTTTAATTTTCGAATCGTCAGGAACTTTCAACCCGCGTTATAGTGTCTTGTTGCTGCACAAGTGGCCATCCTTTGTCACGCCTCATTTCACGGAGTGGGGCTCTTGGCAGGGGCACTCTCGGGTCCACTAGTGATCCTCCCTCTGGCTGTGCGCCGCTAGGGTCCCACGACAGGGCGGTTTCTGGAGGCAAGCGACCCGTGGCAGTCTTCCGGGGACCCGGGACACACCTTCCTTCCAAAAAATGACAGGCCTGTCGGACGCTGTTTGCACCGCGGGTATCGCATCGTTGTCTATCCGCGAACATGCTAGCCCTTACACTAGCGACAGCGTTGTAGTCAGCAGCGGCAGCCGCTCTGAGGCAGCAGCAGCGGAGGAGGGCAAGGCGCGCCTACCCGCCATCGCTGCAAAGGCGCGCCATGCCAAGGACACCTTTGGAGGTGATTGGGAGCGTTGTCGGGCTGCAGAATAACCGCACCTTGCCTGTGCGAATACTGCTGCGCGTGCAGTGCATAGAGCAGCATCCGCCTTGATTGACTTTTCAGAACGCTGCAACGCCACGCACCTCACCGCCTGTTTTAGAGTTGCTCTCTGTGATGAGCCCGATGCAGCTGGTGGCGGGGGAGGACCCGGTCGCAGAGGCTGAGCACTGGAGCATCTTTGCAGACGTGTACGAGCGGGAGGTGCGCGCCCGTTGACGCAGCGGGCCTCCGCATGCATGCGCATGCACGCGCATGCACACGCGCACGTGTGGGTTGCGCTTCTGAAGGGCCGCCCACATGGGGGCATGTACGAGCGAGCTGGCCCATGCAGTGGCAGGGAGGGACGCGACGCATGGCGAGCGCTGCGCGCGCCATGCCCCGCCTGCTGTCGCC